ATTTCATGTACTTTGTATAAATGGAATCAGATGGTATTTGTCCTTTGGTGATTCACTTATTTCATTTATCACAGTGTCTTGAAGATTCATCCACATGGTAGCAAGGGACAGGATTTCCTTCCTTGTTCAGGCTGAATAATAGTCTGTTGAATGTATATGCCATGTTTCGTTTATCTGTTTCCGTATTAGTGGATACTAGAATTGCTTCTACCTTTCGGCCCTCGTGAATAACTCTGCTATAAATTGGGTGTACAAATATCTGTTTGAGTCCCTGATTTTGCTTCTTTTGAGTACAAACCCAGAAGCGAAATTGCTTGATCAAGTGGGAATTCTTTGTTTAATTACTTTAAGGAACCACCATACCATTTACCACAGTTGCTGCCTCATTCTACCTTCCCATCAGCCATGCACAAGGGCTCCAATTTCTCCACATCTTCTTCGGCACTTGTTATTGTGTGTGTGTGTGTGTGTGTTAAAATAATACCCATACTAATGAGTGTGAAGTGTTTCAATGTACATCTTTTTGTTTAAGACACCTTTCAAAATATACACAGTTGTTTTGTGCATATGTAATCTTTTACATAAGTAGCATTATGTTACTCATTTCATCCTCTGTGTTACTATTTTCACTTGGAACTGTTTTTAAGATTCCTCTGTGGGCTTTGTGTACACAGAACTTACACTTTCTAACTTTTGCATAGTATGCTGTGGTAAGCATCAACCCTATCCATGTATATTGGGAACATACTCTGTGCCTGTGGCAATCTCTGCATGTGAGTTATTTGATCCCTTACAGCAGCCCTAAGCAGTGGGTATGATTATTCTTTCCATCATATGGATGAGGAAACTGACATACAATCGTTAAGGGACTTGTGCCCACTGTCACAGAGCTAGAAGTGGTAGAGCTCGAAGCTAACCCTAGCACTGTCTGGCACCATGGGAGATCTTACATGTGTAAGGTGCCGCCTGTGGCTACAGACAGAGGCTCTCTCAGGTGAGGGCAGTCCGATGAGAGTTCTAGGCCTGCCTAGATCCTGACTCATGTCCATACTGCCAATCACCTCCCTTCACCACATGTCACTTTATGTCTGTGCAAAATGAAGACAGAACAATGTTAAAGCTCTCTCTAGACTTACCACTTGTTGATTAAATACCCTTTAGTTAATGGAAAAATAATCAGAATGGAAGCCATGTGGTTGTTTCTTTCCAGGGTTTCACCTGGGAGCCACTCCAAATACACGAAAACCCTTTGGCAAGTCCATTTGCGAGGCCATTCCTGATGGGACTGACTATTCCCAGGGAAACAGAGTCGCTGCCTCCGGCCCCATCCCACCTCTCTTGAACTTTGAACTTACGGTGATGAAAAATTAACTGGGCTAATGTTTCCCTTCCAAGGACAACCTCTGCAAAAGCTGGCCTGGCGGGGCCCCAGGAGACCAGGCGCCAGAACAGAGTTCCTATCCATCCGGAGCCGCCCACCCTTTCACCGCCCAAAGTCAAAGGAGCATGCGGGGTCCTCTTCCCACTGGGAAACATCTATTCCTCAGCCCTCCTCACTGCTCGGTTGAAACTGGGCTTAGCCCCTCTGTTCTTCTTATGGAGAGACTAAGCCCAGAGGAGAGAGGACTAGCTCCAGAAACGGCACTTGCTGGACTCACACGTGGGTCCAGCACTGCTTTCCTGCACGCACAGCTGTCCCTGTCACACGGATGACGGCATGCAGAGGAAGTGCATGAAAGCATGGTTCAGCCACACTAACTAGCTGCTGACTAGTTATTTCCTCCCCTCAGGAAAATGGGAGGACTTCAAGAGGAGCTCTTCCCATGCCGTGATGTTAGAGGGTTCTAGATGTTGGGCACCCACCACGCCCGTCCACTACATTTACTTCTCAGATCTCTTTGGCCCCTCACCTCCGTGGTGCACATCGCCTCCCTCCACCAGACGTGGCTTCTGCTTGTGCAGAACGAGAGGCTTGCATTGCAGGCGAGCACTTTTAACACACTTTCTGGATTCACCACGCTTGCACAATAACAGCTGTTTGCTCCATTCTTACAGCTGAGAGAAGAGGTGCTCGGTGACGTGAAGGGAGGGAGGGAGCCAAGATGAAGTCAGGTCAAGTCACTGATGGACCTGGAGGTCCTCTTAACTGAATCTGGCTCTCAACAGTCCCCCCTGCATGATGTGATGTTCAGGTTAAGATGAATGTTGTAGGAGGAGATGGTGGCGGCTGGGGCCCTTTCTCCCAGGCACGCAATTCCATGCCTTGGTGCGTCTCTAGGCTGTAAGCTCCCCGAGGATAGGGGCCTTTTGCTTCCTTTTTCAGGCTGCCCAGAAACGAAGAGGAGGGCTGTCACACAGAGGCATTCCATAGACGTGTGTCTCTCGACGGAACTGTCCTTGCTTAAGCGCGCACCACCCTGAAGGGCACCAGCAGCGGGCCTCAAAATGTGGTTCCCATCCCTTCACGGCACTTGACCGTTTGCAAAGCTTTTCACATTAGATTCGATCCCCACAGCTGCCGCAGGAGGTCCAAAGGAAAGCCGCTTGGAGCCCTATTGAATAGGTGAGCAAACATTCCTTGCCCCGCCACAATGGGGCACCTGCGTAAAGAACTTGTGTTTTGCAAGGAGCTTTATCAGTGATGTCATCTTTGCCTTCCAGGACTCTGCAAGGCAGTTAGCTGAATGCAAAGGCAAAAATGTGGACTTGGGCCTCACAGAGCATGGGGTTCAAATTCCAGCTGTGCCACCTGGCATCCTGAGTAAGTACTGTAAACGTCTGTGTGTCTCAGGTGCCCTATCCGAACCGGGGAGGCACCGGGATGGCCGCCTCGAGGGCCGTCATGAGGATTAATTCAGAGGGCAGCATTTGCATCACCTGGCGTGGAGAAGGCCATCAATAAATGTTGATTGCTCTTTCCTTTGCTTTCTTTGAGGAGGGCTGGGGGGGGAAGGGAGTGCAACCGAACACTACAGTGGCTGCAGGTTACGCGAGGACTAAGTGGGAAAGGGAAAGCCACAACTGGGGTTCAGGGGTTCTCAGCGCCCAGCAGCAGGGGAGCTAGGAGGCGAGTGTGAAGAGCACAGCCCTCCGCAGCAGCAGCTGACAGGCCCGTGGGAGGCGATTCTTCTGATTCTTCTTCAACGGCAGGGCCCCCTGCAGCGTCTGGGCTGATTTTGTGGATTGGGCCACACCTCACAGGGCTTTGTAACTCCCCACGCGCTAGCGGATAAGGTCTTTCTCACCAGGGGGGTTTCCTGCTGTTAAAAACAAACAAAGACCTTAGACACCGGGCTGGAGTTCTGGCAGGGGAGGGGCAGCAGCATAAACACCCCGAGGGTCGCGGTAACTCCAGAAAGCAGCTGCTGCTGGTGGGGGCCGGCGTCGCGCTTAGAAGCCCCTGAATCCTGCCGTGGGGAGAAAAGCCCCGGGCTCCCCAGGATCCCGGTGTTTCTTTGCCTCCCACCAAGCCTGAGTATGAATACAGAAACCTCCCGAGCACTCCCCCCCCCCCTTTTTGCGAGTTCACAGCTTTGGAAACAAAGCTCTGTCCTGGTTTGTTTTGGGGGCGTCGAATTTCGGTGTTTTTGTGCCATGAGATCGCAACCACGCAATAACGTAATCCCCCCTCCCCCAAGATAAATTCTAAAGCGCCCCCATTCATTCCTTCCTGAACTCAACAGATGTCTTTGAGGCCCATTTTCTGCCCGGGACTTGATTCACAAGGCCCAAGGGACCTCTGGCTCTGGCTCTTATCCAGGGAGTCTCTGGGATCCCCAAATCTCCACTTCTGAGAGCACCCCCCCCCGCGCGCCCCATCCCAACTCCCTCCTTCGCACGCACATAGGCTCGGGGCTCTCAGCCGGTGTGATCTCACCGTTGAGAGAATTAAAAAAAAAAAAAAATCTCCTGAGTCTCCGGGGCCGCCAAGGCCCCTGCCCGGGATCAGCGCGCGCGCGTCCAAGTGCGTGCGGCGTCTTCCTGGGCCTCAACCTTCCGCGCGCCCTTTCTCAGACCCGGGTGCCCCCAAGGGTGCACCGCCAGCCTCGGGCCGGCGCTCACTCGCTGCCAGTCTAACCCCCTCCCGCCGGCCACTGCAACCGCGCTTCCTGAGTGTGGGTGCCGAGAGTGGACGCCACGGCAGGAGCCCAGCCCTCCCCTCTCGCCACTCCGTTCCCACGACTTCCTCCCGGCGCCCGCCGTACTTGAGGTCGGGGCCGCGCGGGGTCCCGCACACACCAGCCAGGGCCGCCGCCGGCCCCGGTCGCCCACGTGGGCGTGCTCTGCGCCGAGCGGGGGAAGGCCGGCCGCCCTCCCGGAGGCTGGGGGTGGGCAAGGCGCCCGGGGGAGGAGGCGGCGGGGCGCGGGGGAGGAGGCGGGGAGCCCCGGCGGCGAGGGGGCGGTGACAGCGCTTGGAAAGGAGGCTGCACGCGGATTTGCATGAAACACAGACTGGGAGCGGGCGGGAGCGGGAGCGGGAGCGGGAGCGGGAGCGCGGCGCACGCCCCGGGCCGGCCCAGCGAGCGAGCGAGCGAGCGAGCCGGGAAGGAGGAGGGGAGCGGGGAGGCGAGGCTGCCGAGGCGGAGGGATCTGCGCATCAAAGCGAGCGAGGCGAGCAAAGTTTGGCTGGGGGTTGGACTTTCCTTCCTGGAGGCGGCACCCAAACAGCTACCCCGTGCGGAAACCCAAACTTTCTTCTGCCACTCCGAGTCTCGCGGCCGCCGCCTCCGCCCCGCGTTCGGGGCCTTCCAGACCCGGCGCCGCAGTCGTCCGCCCGCCCTCCCCGCCGCCCTTCTTCCCGCCGCGGGAGCCGCTCGGGGCGCAGGGCCGCGCGCCGAGCCCCGCTGGCTGCAGCGCCGCGGCTCGGTCCGGAGCACGGGCAAGTTCGCCGAGAGTTGAGGCGAAGTTTGGGCGGCCGAGTTCCCCTCTGCGCCTCCGGAGCCCCGCCGCGCCCAGCCCCGCCGGGGGCGCCCCTCGCCGCCCGCGCGCCCTCCCCAGCCATGTCGTCCATCCTGCCCTTCACCCCCCCGATCGTGAAGCGCCTGCTGGGCTGGAAGAAGGGCGAGCAGAACGGGCAGGAGGAGAAGTGGTGCGAGAAGGCGGTCAAGAGTTTGGTCAAGAAGCTCAAGAAGACTGGGCAGCTGGACGAACTGGAGAAGGCCATCACCACGCAGAACGTCAACACCAAGTGCATCACCATCCCCAGGTGGGGGGGCCCCAGCGACCCGGGGGGCGCGCCTGCCCAGCCCCCTGACGCGGCGGGGCCGGGTGGGGTTGGAGCGGGAGGGCGTGTGTGGGTGTGGGTGTGGGTGTGTGTAAGGGGGGCAGTGGGGAGCGCGGTCACGAAAGGGATGGAGGGGACCCCCAAAAACCTTCTCTGGATTTGCAAAGATTCAGAGCCCCGGGCTCCCGCCGGGCACTCTCACTTCCAGTCGCATTTCGCCTCGGGGAAAAGGGGTTGCTGCGGGAATTGGCAGCCCCCCACTCCGGGGAGCCTCGGGCTAGAAGTTGAGGCCCGCTTTGTTCAGCTCTGCGGGCCGGAGCCCCTCCTCCGCCGCCGCCGCCTCCTCCCGCCCCCGCGGCCCGCGCTCGTGGAGGTGGTGGTGTCTCCCTTTCTTTCCTTCAGTCCTGTCCCCCCACTTCTTTCCTCCACAACAGGAATGCAGTCCGTACAGCTGGGGCTGTGGGTGAGGAGCGGGAGCCTCGTGATTGACAGATTCCTTCTTCGTTCTCTCTTTGCCTTCGGGATTAGCATTTTTATCGAGTATTTTTAGACTCGGTTGTGCCAGTCTCCCGCCCCCCTCTGCACACACGCACTTTCGTTGCAGCGCAGGGCTTTCAAATAAGAGACAAGTGGCAGAGGTTAGGGTCCTCTCTCCTCCCCTCCCCCAACGATTATTTGCCTTGCTTTCAGCTTGAGATTGCGGGTTGATGTAGGGGAGAGGGAGCTTCGAGCTGATCAGATAACTAAACGCACCCCCAAGTGGGCCTCCTCGCAAGGGCCGTCGCATTCCTGCAGAGCCCTCCTTTCCCCAAGCGCTTTGCCATCTGGCCGGACCTCCTTTCTCCTCCGCAGCGCGCTAGCTAGGTCAGGCGACAGCTCACAGATGGCTGATAGAAGGGGTCAGTGACTTGTCTCCACTCCCCAGGGCCCTCTCTCAGCTTAGCTGCCCCCGGCTGGGAATTCGGGGGTGGGGGGTGGGTCACCTGAGCCGCCTGTCTCTCCCTCCAGGCTCCCTTTAAAGTCTGATTCTGTGCCCAGGGAGTGTGGAGGGCGGGGGCGGGATGTCCTTGGGGGTCCCAGGCTGCAGAGGAATGAGTAGAGGGTCCCCAGGGCTTGAGCCCCACAGAGATTGTCGTCCTTCCTCCTGGGCCAGAGTGGACTGCGTCCTTGGCCACCTGCTTGGGGCAGCTGTACGAGGCCTGCCAGCCGTGTGAGGCAGGCACAAAGCAACATCTGTGCACAGGAGCCCAGACCGGGCCTCCTCTGGAAATAAATACCACATATGGTGGGAGTGCTGGCTTAAAAAGTAATATATATTTTTTTAACTGGGTGGATCCAGTCAATACAGGGGGAGGGACGGTGGTGTGTCGTCTGGGAAGTGCGCTCTGGGTGTGTGATCGGGCGCCAGAATCGACTTCAGAGGAGGTGGTATGATGGGATGAGATGGGGTCGGGGAGCCTCGGGTTCTGGTCCCAGCTCTGGTCTTAATTCTGCTTTATTCCTTCTGTCAGGGTGCAGGGGAGTGGGGGGGGGAGAGTAAGGGGTAGGGTGAATGAGTGTCCTACTTCTCCCATCCAGGGGAGGGGTATGCAAAACCTGCCACCTTACCTTTCTGGATGCATTAAGGGGAAGTGCTTTATGCCTTGAAGCAGAAGAGGGGAAAAAGGCATCCGTCATAAAAGGAGCAGCCGTGTGAAGTATTTTACAGTTTACAAAGCACTTTTCACATGGCTTTAATGAGTTCAAGAAAGAAAGAAACTCCTGGAAAATTAGCGAAGGCAGTCAGGCTTCAGGTTTATCTCCTTTTTAAAGTTGAGACAGCTTTGGAGGAGGAAGGGGAAGAGGTTTGGCCCAGTGGACTTGGGACTCTGATCGAATGTGCTTCTTTTCCCATCAGGTGCTGCTCTTTCCTTCAAAGGTTCTGAATACATTCTTTTGCTAAATGCTAGAACACTGTTAGCTTGGGGTGGGGACAGCTGTGGATCTTTGTTGGTGAAGTTGCTAATGGCTAGTGACTAGTTGGGGCAGAATCCTTGCTTCCCCTCGGCTCATCCTCTGGGGAGGCCTAGCTATGGCCTGCCTTTCCCTCTTCCAAAATCCTCCACCGTCTGAGGCACAGAACACTCTGGATGTCTCTGAGAGTATACGCAAACTTGCCCCTGGCTTTCTCCTGACTCTCTTAGGGAAGGGGCATCTTCTACCTGCCTTGTCAAAGGCCCGATACGAAGGTAGACTTTGTTTTTAGTTTTTTCTCAGGGAGACTCAGTTCTTTGGGTAGACTAGACAAAACGGATTTTCATCCCCGGATTCTGTGCCCACAGCCTCTGGGTCACCTTGTCTCCCTTGGCAACAGCTGCCTCTGTTTTGGTCGTGGGCAGAAAACTAAAGGCCACGTCTTGGGGGAGGTAGCTGGCCTCCACGTTAGTGATATTAGCATGTCTGCTAAGCCCCAAAGAGTGTGGCGGTAGTTGTCGAATTGTGTGCATTCTCTATACTACCTTTTATAACTGGGGCTTTGGAAAGTTGACCAAGGGAAATGTTTAACCTGGTTATCCCGTGGCGTGTGGGGGTGTGGGCAGTGGGCGCTTAAGGCTACCCCGGGGCTTCAGGGGGCCTCAGTCTAAGGAGATTTGACAAGTGTGTTTTGGCTAAAATATAATCACGGTCAGCAACAGCAACCTTTGGCAATTACAGCCGCGTCCTAGGGTCTTCCAGACTGTGTGCTTGCGGATATTACCGCGCCAGCTCTAACCTGTCTCAGCGATCAGGAGAGCTGGAGTGATCCAGGCTTACTGAAATCAAGAATGTTAAAGAGACCAGTGCCAAGGAAGTGGTAAGAGCTTGATTTAGATACACCAGCAGAGAGGCTATCAGGATACTCTGAGGTCTGGCAGGATGAGCAGAACTGAGACAAGTTGTATAACAGCATCTTGCTTGCCGCCTGCTCGAGTATCTGAGTGGAGCAGTAGGCATCTTTCTGGCCAGATGATAAGAACGGAGTCCTAGCATTTACCACCGAGAGGTAGAGAAGGTGTGTGCGTGTCATGTCAGGAGTAAGGAGCCAGGCACACTGAAGAATGACTGGCTCAGTGGACGTGGGTAACTTGTGCTCTCACTGATGAGGTTTGGTTCAGTTGCTGGGAGTTGGGTCAAGCTGAAGGTCGGGTTTGGGCTTTCTTAGGTCAAAGTACTTTCCTGTGTCAACGTCCAGAGGAAAATGGGGGAATTGAACCAAACACCAGGTCTGACACATTCCCGTCTCCCCTTTCTCTGTGAATCCCTTCTTCTAACGTGGCCTTCTCCTGTTAGCCACCTGGACTTTTCCAGGCTACTCTCATCCTAGGGAGAGAGGAAAAAGATAGTCATCTTTAAGGTTCCTTTCTCAGACGTCTGGGGACAGACCTTTCTTTACCAAGGCTGCAGGAGTGGCTTTTTTTTTTTTTAAATGTTTTATTTATTTCTAGGAGAGGGAGAGAGAGAGAGACAGCGTGAGCAGGGGAGGGTCAGAGAGAGAGGGAGACACAGACCGAAACAGGCTCCAGGCTCTGAGCTGGCAGTCAGCACAGAGCCCGACGCGGGGCCCGAACCCACGAACCGCGAGATCATGACCTAAGCGAAAGTCGGACGCTTAACCGACTAAGCCACCCAGGCGCCCCAGGAGTGGCTTTTTAAACACCTTCTTGACCTCCTGTCCACCCTCCCCTCTCCCTGCTTCTCAGAAAGGAACCTTTCTGATATAGTCTGTTGGAAGCAAGCCCACTTCTGGCTGCCAGGGAGGTGGTCCATCCCCTTTCCTTTGTCTTGTTAACCTTGATTAAGGGAGTTCCTTGCAGGGGCTGGGAAGAAGAAGGGCCCACAGACCACGAGTAGCTGGCTCTGGGGGCTGGCTCACAGCTCTGGCTGAATCTAGGAGTCACTTGATGTTCCCTTGACATTTGGAACCTTGAAACTTGTTGTTTGCACCCAGAAATTAACTGTTTGGGCCAATGCATGTTACAGACAGCCCCTGGCTCACAGTTCCTAATCAAATGTTACAGGGTTGGATTTTGTGGATTCATTGATCATGATTGGCCCCCTCCCATGTCTGAGTCAATATTGCAGGCAATGGGAGAGGGTGCAGAGATAAATTTGAGATGGCCCCTGCCTGTAAGCAGCTTCTACTTCAGTAAGTGAGGTGTTCATAAGGCATTATTTGCATGTCTAACTGCAATTTCTTTTTTATTCCCACCCATCAGAAGAAGAAATGAGTTCTAGTATGGAGTGATTTGGGGGTGGGGGTGGGGACTGTACTCTGTGTTTTAAATATTGTCAGAAGTCACCGTCAGAAAACAAAATAATGGCAGCCATCGGATTTCTCCAGAAAGAGCACAACATTCAACTCCCGGACCTTGCCATTTTACTATCTGGACAAATTTAGGAGTTCATTTTAATGTCTCAGATCCTTCATGTCTCCACCTATAAAATCAGGGTGATATAAGGCCTGCAGGAATGTTTTGTTAAACCAGGGAGTTTGACAGATCTAAGTATTATGTTTTAGCCTCCTGTGTCTATCATTCATTCATTCATTACTAAATTATTCACTCATGTATTAAACACCTTCTACAATGAGCAAGGCAGGACACAAGTTCTGAAGGAGCTCCCTGTCTAGACTGGGAGATAGACTTGGCCAAAGATACAGGAAATGGGCCGCAGCCTGGAGATGTACGAAGCTCCCAGAGACATGGGGACAGACCGTTAATTCTGTGGGAGGAGGTGAGGAGAGGAGGGAGGGCTCAGTGCGAGGTGGAAAATCAAAGTGAGGGCAGGAGTTATTCCCCAAAGGAAGTTTCAGAACTACAGCGTCATCAGGTACGTGGTGGTACCTGCCTACAAGAATGAGGATATCTTTATCTTCTGCCTTTTGCTAAACAGAGTACTGTTGTCAATATGTTACCTCATAGCGTGCAGCGAAGGGCTAGTGACCTGTGTGCAGTATTTATTCC